CTCAATGCCAATAATCTAATACCAATATATAAAGGTAGCAGTTATTAGGGCCGGTCAATAAAATAATAATGATAATTATCGTGATATAATTTTCCTCCATAACAACATAACAAATGTTTAATACATTTTCAGTACATATTTGATTTAATTCATGTGAATCATGAACAAATCAACACTTCATTTTTCTATTAAGATATTTAGTGTGTTGAGGAAAAGGGACTGAAAAAAAGATTTTATCATAATTCTTTTGAATCTTCTACCTCAGATTTGTTAAACAATCCACTGTTTGGCATTAAGTGTTCTGACGATTAAGAATAGTTTGAAAGCCCAATTAAACATCTGGTTTCTTTCACTCAGGAGCAATAATCAGTCTTTAAACTTGAAAGAAATAATGATTTGACATTGATGGTAATTGGTGATGAAAATGGTGGTTGATAATTATCGATATCGAATGATATGATTGAATGATAACATTTTTGGCTATATCGCCCATCCCTAGTACTGTGCTTATTGTCAGGCCTCTACTGGATCGCAATAATTGCACAGGTGTTCCTGTTTTTTGTGAACCCCCTGTATACCCTTGTGGGTTTTATGTTGCATTCATTTACAGTCCACCACTGCATGACTGTTAAAGTCCCAATGATCATCCCATTGGAACAATACACACACAACACAATTCCTCAAAATCATTCGCAGACAACATTCTTGCATCTCTCCAGCACTGCCTGGGGTGTTATGTGCATTCAGAAAACTGCAAAGCTAATGATCAGCAACCCATGAGCATTAAAGACATTCATCTGCGCTCTCACTACAGGATAACTAGCTCCCCGAGTCTCACCGCAATTTAGTCAAAAGTCCGAATAATACGTTTATCTACCGGGGTGCACCACAGCCTCCCTACATATCTTATTTCCCAGTGCCCCATGCACCAAAACACTCCAATGCACACTGCATAGTGGGCAATGAAGACCAACCTCCCACTCCTGTTGCTTTGGGGTCAAATTAGAAGGCTACTCTAACAATTTCTCTCTAGACCCATCTCCATACCACGTTTGTTGGGTGTGCAGTCTATCTTGGAATAACCTTTTAGATGACATAATACATAACTAGATACAGATACGGTTGAAGTGTTTTAAAATAATGCCTTTGGAAAGCTTGCAAGGAGGAGGGGAAAGAAAAAATATTATTGAACATGTGTTTGGCATCAGTGTTACAATCCACTGTGCTGACATTTCACAGTGTATAATTTTACATTTTTACAGTGTGTTACTTTCTTTATGATAATGTGTGCATGTTTATGTATGTGCACACAGCAGCATGTGTGTGTTTATGTCTAACAAGACATACTTGAGTGCATCTGTGTGTACGTGCTGTGTATCCGTGTTTATCTGATGTCTATGCATGCTTGTAAAGGATGTCTGCATATCTGTGTCCACACATCTGTGTCTGTATACATTTTTATGTCATGCCGTGTGTTTTAGGGTTCCTGCTCCAAGAAACTGTCTCTAACTAAAAACAGCGTCAGGCTGTGTAATGAGAGCATTACTCCTGCGGTTTGACCCTATTTTAAAGTGCTGCCGAACTCTTGGACTGCAGAGAAAGATTTGTGTTGTCTGTGGGAGTGCATTCACCCTGTGTGTACATACAGTAAATACCTGGATCCTGTTTCAGAAAGCAGGTTAAGGGAAAACTCTGAGTTTGTTAAGCCTGACATGAAGGAAACCTGACTGGGAGGAGGTTTGCTTCAACAAACTCTTGAGTTTCTTTCTGACTACTTCCCCTCTTGGGGAGACTGAAGCAGCTGTCTGACACACAGTGTCATTTCCCTCATTCATACTGTCAATATCAAAGCACATAATGAATCCATTGATTTGCAGAAGTTTAGGTGTTTAGAAACATGGAATACTCGGTTAGATATTAGTTTGTTACCCAAACATGATCTTTGACATGACAGATTTTACAATCAGTGTGACGGAAAGGCAAGAGTAGTCACACCACCCAGATTCGAACCCGGATCTACGGGTCTGTCACAACTCCCGCCAATCGTACTTCTCCCATCTCACTGTCCTCCCCTTCGGGAGACGCCCCATTGCGCTTCACGCATACAGGAATCTGTCACGACTCCCGCCAATCTTACTTCTTCCATATCAGGATGCCCCCACCCACACAGGGATTCGAACCTAAGTCTATGGGGTACCAAACATGCAACTTGACCACAACGCAGTCACAGTATGGCAGTCACAGCGCATACTCAACCATACTTGACGGTGGTCCGTCACAATCAGTCTGTCATCAATGTAAGGACTTCATGGGTTCATCCACAGCTCAGAATAAAATCTACACTGTCCTCCTTAATAACACTGTGACTCTGTGGATATTAAGGCAGCTGTCAGGTTGTCAGCAGTTGCACTGAAACATTTACTGAGGGCTACATTACTCCAATAATCACTGTTTAAATCAAACGATTCAGTATGAAGCTGTAACTGACCGATGAAGAATCATTTGTCATGTTATGATTAGTCACCCTGATGGAACATTCCTATTATAGTTATCATGTTGGAGATGATGTGAATATGTCTGAGTGAGAATGATTGTGGTGCAGCTGAAATGACTAAACATATCTTAAAAGTGAGTTTTTGAATATGAGCTCCATATAGTCTTAATGTCTTTTGACAGTATTTCATTAAATGTGAAATGAACAAAAAAGTTTACGTAAAATAGATGTCTAAAACTTTCCAGTCAGTTAAAACTGAGACACATTTTCAATGGCAAATCACCAATGTTATTATTACTGGGTCGGACTATCACAGGCCCATGAGTAAACTGTGTTTGATCCATATTTTTATCTTCAGCTATTACCACCTGCATTTTCTCCCATCAGGGTACAGCTGAATAAATATATTTAAAATATATAAAATATTTAAAAAGAAGGATTCCAGCACTTTATCACTCATTAAGGAAATTTAAGTCTGCGTTGGCATGTATTAATATTTCTAGCGCTACTAGATTAAAATAGACCTGTTGCCAGGGTGAATAACAGTATCCGAGCTTCATTGATGAGGCTTTTTTTCATTCCCCAGCCACATGCTTCCATCAGGTTCAAGTTACTGAAAGTTGACTGAACTAATTCTGATCAGCTGTTCTGGAACTGAAAACTCTGAGTTTCCCATCTCAGGCTTAATCTACTCGAAGCTCAGGGTTAGGCTCAGAGTTTGTTAAAGTATATAAGTTAGTGTGATAGCAAAGGTGTGCATTTTGCTCATGAAGCCATATTTGAATTACTACTATTTGCAAGGTTATCGCAGAAAAATATTTCATCACTCTTATTGGGTATACTCGCAAGGATAGAAACAAAAGTTGGTCATCAGATTTACTAAGTGTAGTAGTATCTGACATCTGCTATTAAGGAATGCCCATTAAACTGCAGCCCCAGCAGTGATCACACAGATTCCTCATCAGCTGCAGGGGTGCTACTCTGTAGCAGAGTCTGCACTGTGACTTCATTGCTTGAGGACAGCGAGCGAATCAATAAATACCACATTGTTATTAACAAAACCTTATTTTATCTATAAAACAGTGTCACCTTGGGAGGATCTAGAAACAGACATACACACTGAGACAAAATACCAAGTAGACTGACTCCCATCTGATGAATTTAATATTATCTAATATTACAACATGTCCCTGTGGCCACAGGACTCCCTGGAGATCTCCAGATTTGTTTTTGGGTCAGACTGTGGATTCTCTCTATCTTCTTTCGTATTACTCCTCACAGTCTACTGTACAACTGCACAATTGAAAGACTGAAATCGAAATAAAAGCCTTTCTTGCAGAAGATAATGATACTGGCAATTGTGAGAAACACCGAAGTTGTTTGGAAATAATTACCATAGACTGCTATTAACAAAGTGAAGCACTGACTTTTGGAAGTCACTGTACAATGTGGCTCAGCTGGATGAAATATGGGCTTTTGACATGTTTTGTTATAAAGTTCTACCCCAACAACCCACTTTCGTCTATGAAATGCAGTGGAATGAGAGGATATAATCACATACAGGTGTGGGCCAAAGGTCCAATGCTCTGATTAAAACCCGAGTCCGCTCTTCCCAACAGAGATCTGTCAAAGTGAAACATATTCTGATCAAAAGACCGAGGGCTTTTTTTTAAATTTACCATGACATTTTAGACATCTGTTCTTTAAAGGGTATTCTGCAAAGACTGCTGCAATGCTAAATTTAAATGATAAAAAGTCTACATACCAACACTCTGACCTCTATCAACTTCATGTACAATATGGAGTATAATGGAGTTGGTGCCTCAGGGGCCAGTGCAGATTGCAATCATTGAAGGAACAATTCATTCTAAATTGTTGCAGGAAATTGTACAGAAGAATATCAGGGTAGCTGTTTGTGATTTGAAGCTTAACATAACTTTCTTCACACTACTTCATAATTGCCCTTAACACAAAGCACAATCAGTAACTCAAGGGCTTTAACTAGTAAAAAAAACAAACATTGGCATAGGCAAGTCAGATTCCTAACCTCAAACCAATTAAAATGCTGTAGCATGACTTGAAGTAAGCCATCCATGCAAGGTATTCCAAAAATACCAATTAACTCCAGCTGCTGACTAAAGAGTAATTTTCCAGAATACCTCCTATTTGCTCTGCAGGGCTGATCAGCAACTAGGGAAAAATTTTGATAACTATTGCCACTAAACAATTAACTAAAGGTTCACATATTTGTCCAATGTGATTTCAGTAGGGTTTTAGTTTAAATTCACACACATTCCACATTCCATATGCCGTGACACAACTATGATTCTTTTCACATTTCAAATTCAATGTCATAGTGCATATAATAATCACTATGCTCACATTTTTTATGCACAAAGCGTAAAACTATTGCAGGTCGGGTATTAACACGGAAATGATTATTCTGTTTACCCCGAGGGTGAAAACTGTCTTTCATGACATTGCTTATGTGTATTCATATTTCCAGCTCTAACAAATGTGAAGCTGTGGGCCATCGACCGACAGTGTTTTCAGACGATCATGATGAGGACGGGTCTCATCAAGCACACAGAGTATATGGAGTTTCTGAAAAGGTAAGGAAACCAGGATAAATTGTCCCACAATGACAGACAATTTGCCTAAATAGGGCTTTGATCTGAAAGGCAATGAATGAATTAACTAAATTAATTCAGGAGAATATGTTTGAGCTGTTTCTCAGAAGATTCCTTAGTCCTAATTTTTGCCAATAAATGTTAAAACTCAACGATAATTTCTTGTGCGTCACTGAAGGTCCTCATCCTACTGGAAAAAAACCTAACTCTATCATCTTTCTTTAATGTCCCTATCTGTATCAGAGAGCCCTACATCCTAACCACTTTCCATAGAGAAGCCTATTATCACTTAAAAAGCCTGCAGACTTTTTTTTGGCCTTCATGGAGTATAGGATAAAAGAAAGACTCATCAAAAGCCAGAAGGAGAGCAGAGCGCTGTGATCATAACAGGCAATTAATAGTTCTCACCCCCATCTCTGTTCAACTTTCCGGTTTTCCTGTCATCCACTTTGGTTTTAATCAAGCCAATTATGAAAATGATATCACATGCACACATCCCTATATTACCCGTACCACTCCATTTTCACGTGACTTTGTTTCAGATTTCAAGGTTGTCTATTCCTTGCACATATGCACTTTATTTACGTTAAAGGTCCCAAATCATAAAAGCGCACAATCTGCCTAGGATCGTTTCTATTGAACAAAACCTCATGAATCACTGTAATCATGATCAGACGCTGACACTACCTGACAGAGTCGTTTCAAGGCAGGCAGCTGAATATAGCACATAGGAAACCAGTTTTTCATTAGACATTCACAACAAAGCCTCATACCTAAACTTAAAAATAGGATACATGTCAATACCTTCCAAAACGACCAATGTTATGATAGGGAATTTAGAGTACCTTGTTAAGGATAGGGAAGTCGCACCCTTTGTACGCCCAGCCATTCACTTAGCCCTAAAGGCCGGGGTATACTCAGATAGATCAGAACTAGTTTGTTCAGCGTGGTGTTGGAAACAGAAGTGTTGTATAAATGTTCAAAACTGCCAAACACTTTCAGCTAGTCTCTCCAGCTATGAATGCCTCCTATGAAGGCATTCATAGTGTTGCACTCAGACATTCCCATGAAAAGTGCAACAAATGGTTGGTATAACAAATACTAAAAAGAGAGCTGATTGAGAATTTTAAACCCTGCTTCCTGTCTCACCTCTGAAATTCTGATGGAGTATACGGACCCCTTTAGACTTTTGCAGCAGTATAACACTGCTTTAGCCTTTGCTGAAGAAAGAGGTCTATCAAGAAAGATATGGCAGGATAGGGAAATAAAAATGTAGGTTGCTATAAGCCATAATAACAAATGCTGTCTCCCTGTATAGTACGCAACTCTGGCATCTGCAGGCCAATCATAATAAAAACACAACATTAATCTTACTTTCATGTTTAAGACTGAAGCTATTTTAGTGATTGCTTTGACTAAAAAAAAGACACAAAACACTTCTGTCTCTGTACTGAGTGTACAAACATGTACTGTAAGTAAATATTTAATAGACGTAGGTACGGCTTGGTTTGTGCTCACTGTGTGTTTAGTTTATAAAGCAGCATCTGGGAGGGGGAGGATCAGAGATTTATACCATTTGGAAATTCACAGTATGTAGATAATTACATTGCTGTTGTTCTTCCCAGAAACAGAACTAATAAAAGAGTTGTAGTTTAAGCGTTAAAACAAACAACTAGTCCCTCTGAGTCTTCTACCCACTCTTTAACTGCAGAGAAATCATATATTTGCATTCACAAGTTGTGGAGGAAGAACACAGATGAAAAATTGACAGAGACATCCCACACTGTATTACATTATACTTGTGAAGACTTTTTTATTATCTCTTTCTAGCATGTATTATAAATGACTGAAACATCTTGCTTCAAGAAGCGTAACTGCAATGGAATCAATCTAGTAGCAAAGGGTAGCAATCTAATTAACTGACAAACATCACCAAAGTTTATAAAAATGTGTATTGTTGTGAATTGATATTTTAAGGGTTGGTCGGTTATTACTCAATCTTCTGCTCCCTTCCACTTTAGATAGACGTTTAGCTAAAAGGCATAGAGGAAAAGTAGACAACCATCTGCCCAATGAAAAAAAAGGCAAAAAATCTTGTGCCTCACTCACAATTGCATGATGCCATAAGTAATGTTAGACTGAAAATGATCAAAAAGACCACATCTGTAGAACCGCACTTCCCCTCTGGCCCTGTATAATTAATACATTTGCTGTAACACAATTAAGCTGTTGGATTGTGAAATTTACTACAACAGAAGCTTTTTGTTTTTGTCAACTGCCTCACAGCTCGAGGGACTGAAACGCCACATGATTCAAGCAGAGTAGGGTCATGCGTTCACTGCCTAGCTGATTACCTAGTGCCTCTCTCTAGGAAGCAAAAACACAAGAATCAGCACAGTGGCTGGGGCCTGTGTTGGGGGCCAAGACGAGATGGTTCAGATTACTGTAATAAAGCATGGAAAATGAGGGGGGAGAGTGAGATGGAGAAACATACAGAGAGAGAGAGATCATGGGGAGATAAGTCCTTTGTTCACCAACACGGGTATTTTCTCTCCTCCTTGATAAACATTGGGCCAGTTTTATTTAGTAAGTTTGATAACAGGCAGATAGCATTCATTGGGGCTGCCGGGAAGCAAACGGAACAAACATTAGAGCCTCATAATGGTCTATTCAACCTTAGGATCTGATGCCCTGCTGTGTAACTAGACACGTTGCCCAGTTTATGCTGAAATATTTATATCCACATACTGTAATACAGTATACAGGGTCATGCTCCCATAGCATAATATTGATTTTTTTGTGTGTTCCTGTTGCTATGTATATTTATGTTGTTCACGTCAAATCATATGTCTGCTTCATTCTGGTCAACTTTTTCAAACCAAATACATATAACTGCCAGCTACACTTTTTTATCTGACAACCACAAAAGACTTAATCAGTAATATATTTATTATGTATGAATCTATTCTTCTCGAAAAGCCCTTTATTTTCTTTCTCCTGCAGCGTCCCAACATTCCACGACCTGCAGGAAGATATTCTCAGCAAGCTTGCCGATGTCCTTGAGGAGGTAAGTGCCTTGTTCCAAAGCCTGTGACATCTGCAGCACAAAGGTGCTGTCAAGCCTACTGCACTCATCTTAATAGACTCAAATACATTAATTTTCTTTCATTGCAGTGAGAGGAGGAAGCCAAAAGGGAAATGAAGGCATATTCCAGATAATGTACACTAGGTGAAGGCAGCTGGAGATTTTTTTAGAGGGTTGTAACAAAACAAAGTGTGCACAGTTGGGTTTTCAGAGCAACTCTTTAGTATGTGCTCACTGTGGTGATGTTGAACATAAATGGTCCACCCACTAATTTCATGAACCTATTCAGAAATTCAGTATACTGCCACCAGAAGCCACTTCAGCTTTCACAGGGGGTCAAACAATCTAAGCAAGTTGAGGCATATCATAATCGTTGTCAATACAACAGTTGTGTTCATCTACCATTTTTCTTTGTGGCATCTATATTCTTCCTTTCATTTCCACAGATATGGAAATCGCCCCACTCTTTGCTTGAGTTGTGTTATCCATCAAAGTGAATAAAATATTTTTCAAGTTCAATTATTGTAATGTTGTAATGCAGTTTAAGTGCAGTTTGATTTGAAAAGTCTAGACTGCATTACCTCATAAACATAATGTATTTTTTCAAAAAATGAATGCAGATGTAATGTTTATTGTGATGGATTACCAAACTCAGCAATCAATGGCTGCATGGAGGGCAAAACCCTGAAACACTACAGCATCTTTTGCTAAATAGACAGCAGTTGCGATATGTGATTTGTCATTAATGGACTTAGAAATGTAAAATCAGTGGTATGTTCTTTTTGCTGCAACTTTGCAGAATGTACTCTTCATGCTGGTGACAGTGTGCATTTTGAGATGTGTCTCAATATTACTTTTTCTACCCATCTGCACACCACTTCCTTTGATGTTTTCTCCAGCATAATTTAGTTATGCAAACACATTCTCATTTACACTTTTGATGTGTGCTGCTAACATTGAGGCTTTGTTTAATTGCATTCAAATAGTGTTCAGTTTTTGGTTATTCAATGTCAGTGTGTGTTTATATGTGTAATCATTTATGGAACTATGAGAAATTAGTTCCAGATAATTTTGCTTTAAAGAAAAAATAAATAAGTCCATTAATTATGCAAGACTTACCTTGAGGGATGAATTGACCATGTAACGTTTATGCTGGTTTAGGTAGTTTCTAGTTGTGTAGCCTGCAAAAACAGCAATTTAAAGATTTGTTTTAATTTGACTCATTTCAAACTTGCAATTAGCGGCCTTCCAAACACTGAAACTAGGTTACAGCAAAAATGCCAGCACATTCAATGTGCCATATGTTAAATTGCTAAAGCGTGCATTATATCGTCATCACCATCATCATCATCACAGTTTGAACTTTAAGCAATAACATTTGATGTACTAATATCAAATGGAAAATCTGTCTTGATTGTGCCTTTTTCAGTTTTGTCATGACAAGTGAAAACACATAAGTTACATACCAGTAAATCTTTGCCGGGCAGGTCCTCCACTGGCATCCTTAAGTTTCTGTGTAGTTCCATTCAACGGACGGAGTGCAGTAATTGTTACCAGTCCCTGTGGTGGGAAAGGATTTGTCTTGTTACGTTAGGTTAGGAGTTAAAGTGGACTTAATCCCGGCTATTTTAGGTTGGCTATCGGCTAATGTTAGCTAACATTTTTAAACTGCGCTAGTTAGCATTGTGTTTTTTTCGTTTTTAAGCTAACTTTATCGTTGCTGCCGCTGGCTAAGAATGACCTCTTAATGTTATGATGGTAATTTAACGTTAATGCGTTACATTATGTTCTTGGAAGTTTTCAAGCTGACTCAAGCTCACATGGTTATATTTACGTCTGTTACCGTCTAAATAGGTATGGACCTCGGTGCTAACTAACGTTACATAATTAGCTTAACGTTACAACAGTTGAAGTAACTTAATGCCAGTGTAATTTAGGGTAACTCTTTAAGTTAGTCTAAGTTAGGGTTAGCATAAACATAGTTGTCATGTAACATGACTGTTCCATATTTTACTATATGTGGAGAACCATTGTGTATCATTTATACATTGATCGCTATTGTACCCCTGCAAAATTTACTGCATATGAACATAGAGGTATCTTTTGACTGCTGCACTGCTGTGTCGTTGTACATTTTTGTTACATGACTGCAGTTGACATTTCCATAATACAGTGTTTGTTACTAGGATCGCAGCTTGTACAATGGTCAATAATATATTATGTAACATGATCAGTAACTAACGTTAGTATGTTACTTGCAGCATTGAATTTACCACAGTAGAAAAACACCATCACAGTATGGAACTTTTGTTGTGGGTAAAGGTAAAAGATATGATAATGCAAAGACCTGATTGTTAAAAGGGTGAGCAGGATAACAATGTAGCTCAAGAGAAGCCGTTCATATCAGCAGGCAGAGTCGGCTGGGGGGGGGACTGAAGTGCCAAGGGAAGAAAATCTATGGGCTTACACACATAACAGCCTTTATGGCAGAAGATAACTTCAAGTAAAATAAAGAAGTCATGGGACAGTATATTGGCAAAGAGGCAGCAAGATATGCCACCCACAGTGGCAAGGGAACTGTGTGCAACCACTCTGGAATTTCAAGTAGTAGTCTGTGGTGAGTAGCTGAGGCTTGTCCCTAATGCTCAGGTATAACTAATCTGAAATATTTTGCCAGCATGATACATGATACACTTATGATGGGGACCCAAAGTCTTGTCTAACAAACTTCATATCTCCGTGATCAAATCCTCTTTAATCACAGCCACTTTAAAGGTGCAGACTATTTTATGAGCAATAAAATTAATGTGATAATCATTTAGGCTTGGTGCAGGGGACAAGTCTGAGTGAGCTGAGAGAGAATACACACAATAGCAAAATGGGATGCTTTGCATGACATTCTAGACATGCCTATAAATTTACTCTAATTAATGTGTTTGAACAGTCGGTTGAGGGAGATATTAGTGTTGGGTAGTTGATTGAATTTTTATTTTATCAGCTTCAAAGACACCGCAAGTGGCAAGCTTGAAAGTAACGCTAAAATAATTAAAACCTCTTAACAATTGCTTTAATTTATTTCTTTGCAGTCACCCTCATAAAGAACAAGTTGTGGGTAGTGTAGTATAGTGGTTTTTGGTTTTCCTTGAATGTGCAAAGGGTGTATATGTTGGTGGTGCTGGGTCACATAATGGTGAAATCTGTCATGTTGCTTTATGTCTTATCCTCTACTATAATAGATAATTTTGGTCTGCAGTTGATTTCTGATTAGATAGATCAAGCTAAGTTGTTCTGTTTGAGAAAAGAAACGGGCACTACATCATATAAATAAACAAACTTGAACTAAACATCTGTAACCTACTATTAACAAGAAGTTGTGTTTTTGAGTGACGCACAGCAGACGTGAATCACACACACACTGCTCAGTGTGAAGTAAGATGTAAGGTCCCTCTCTTGGGCGCAATAGTTTGAAAAAACCTTGCAAATGTCAGCTTCAGTGTGGAATCTGCGTATGATCTATGAGCTCTGTCTTCAGTCTGGACTTGTGGTCTGAGGTGCAGCATATTGTGTATTTTGCTGGGAAAGTGAAAATCCCACCAGAACATGTAAAATGATAAACAAAAAATGCATGTTTGTCTCTGGTCCTTATCAGGGTTTGTCTGTGACTATTAGTGCTCCTTGTGCTTCTGTAGATCATTATGCAACTTCATATCTGGTTTTCTTAAAGAGGTTTTTTATATTAAGTCTTCTTACATCTTATGTGTATCTTCTCTATACACTAAAAGAAACTGTCCTTGGAATAAATGCATTTTATTCGGCACTGGAAGTTTTATCCAACACAAGGTGTGAACCTGTGTGTAAAAGGGTTTTTCTATTTGTGTGTTAGCCTTGTGTTAGTTTGCAGACCAATCCTGGGCATAGCCTATTCAATGCATGCTTAGAAATGCTCCTGTGCCCATAACCCTGAACAGGATTTCTTGGTATAGAAAATGGATTGATGGATGGATATTGATTTTACTGTTGGAAAGGTGCTGCCTTCAGATTTGATGCAGTTGCATTCATTTATTCAATACATTTTCTTTACCTGCTTATTGAAATTCAAGGTTCCAAGGCATATCCAAGCAAATAGTGGGTGCAAGGCAGAGAAACACCCTGGATAGCTTGCCAAAAATGCATCTAACTTTGTGTTATCTCACTGCACCAAATTAAGCCTTACTTCCTCTGAGGACTACCTTTTTGTCTCTTGGGAGAGTATCTTACTTCCAATTTGAGAAACGAGACAAAATAATCATAATGTGGCTGAACACTTACCTTTTCTGGTCTTCTCTGGTCTTCTTTTCTCTTCTGACAGACACATTATGAAAACGGAGAGTACATCATCAGACAGGGGGCCAGAGGAGACACCTTCTTCATCATCAGCAAGGGAAAGGTGAGAACAGTGCCTCTAGCCTGCCACCAAAATAGTCATCACAACGCCGGGCCTCATGCCACACACAGCAACATACACCTATCTTTGAAGCAAAGTGGTAGTATTTTTGGGTGGAAGGTGGCTGTCATCAATCATCTTGAGAGAGGGGAAAGGAGAGACTGAAGCGCCGCCTCTTTCATCATCTTTTGCAGCGACAATGGCAGCATCTGGAAAGGAGAATGGATTCACATTCATTTCACCTTTCTGCCATCAACACTGGCTTTTACACTGAGCACAGATGACACGCTGTTCTGTTCAGCATCACAGTTAGAGGGCCTTTAATGTGCATGTATTGTTAACATGTTTCGATGCCTTGATGCCAGATACTAGTCCTAATTTTTATTCTGCTCATCATCCACATGTTTTTAAAAAAAATCCTTTTCCTCCTTCCACACTATCTTCTGGTCCATTTTACACTTGTTCCTTCACTCTGTTTATGTTTCTTCTCCACCATCCACTACCCCTCTTCCACATTATCATTATGTACATTTGTTACCAACCTTATTTTCAGTGTTAAATATCTCCTAAATCCACCAAAGGTAAGATTTATACATGGCTTACTAAAGATGCCCGAAGCGGGAACTGGGATAATAAGAGAGTGTTGGTAACCAAAAAGTCCCAGTCAGTGAGACAAAATCACAGTTCACATATCCAGGATGTAAGTGTCATTGTAAAGGAAGACGCTACATTATGTTTCCTGTCTTTTTATTTACTCTCCTTTGACCCCAAACAGATGCCACGCACGTTACAAGGTTGGCACAAATACATCACATACAGATAAGCTCATGGACATGGGCGTAGACACGAACACACATGCACGCACACACATACACTCCTGACCTTATCAATGCTTTCTGCTTGGCTGTTTCCATGTCTCTCACTTTGTCTCTATGTAGACCGCAGATGGTGCACTTTGTGTAGAGGACATTCCACCAAATCTGGCCATCTCACGACACACACACACACACACACACACACACAAACAGCTTGCCCTTTGCTCGATGCTTTCTACCTTCTCTTCGTCCCTCTACTTCTTCTCCGCTTTTTTCCCCCTGCTCCCACACCTTCATTTTAGATCACGAATAATTACACTGTCACTCAGGTGTGGACTGCATTACAGTGTGCTTGTGCTGCTACACCTGTGCACAACTGATGCAAAATCCTTCATTTGATGAAACGACCATCTCCATTCACTACCTCCAAAATCTACTTCCAGTGCCATCACTTTGATTTGTAAAGTGTACCATCACTCACATCATCACAATCATCTGGCTAATGAAGTGGCCAGCGGCGCCTCCAGATCCTGCACAGAGATGGCAGTCACCTGTTTGTTATAGATTACCCATGCACAGAGATATCTGTCACACTGGCGCTTCTCCTCTGTTTGTAATAGTGTAATTAACCTGCCATCTTGTGAGATCATTACATGTCAATTTCTTTTGGAATGATGTGTAAATTAAATGTCATACCTTTCAAATGAAACCTCTCCTTCACTCGCCACACATACTCATACTGTTATAGGTCACCCCTTCTTTCTTTGTTCCATTTTCTTCCCTGTCACACTATTTTTCTCACTACTCTCCTCCTCTTGCTTTTCTGTTCTTTTGCCAGGTTAATGTGACCAGGGAAGACATGCCCAATGGAGATCCTGTCTACCTGCGCAGCCTCGGAAAAGGAGACTGGTTTGGAGAGAAAGCGCTGCAAGGGTAGGATTGTTCCTAATAGCACTGCCTCTTCCAATTTAAATCTTCTGTTTTCCCACAGTTTCTGTCTCCTTCACTGTCACCCACTTCCCTTCTAATTTTCACTCACAATCTGTCTTTAATATCCTTCCTCTTACACTTAACCTGCATCTATCCTTTTTAATTTCCTATCAATCAGCCTCTAGCTCTTATTTCTCTTTTCTCTTCTCTTGAGAGGCATGATAACATGCTAAATGTTGGTGATGCAAAATTTCTAGCTTTGAACCAAACAAAGCGTGTTAGGTTTGAGCTGATCAGAAAGACTAAACTCTCTCCGAAATCCAAATTTTTTGAAAATCAGATTAGATTTTTATCTGCAACTGAAGATATGGTATGTTAAGATTGTTTTTTGAAATAAATGGTTATGGTATTGTATTCCTAGCTGATGCAATATTAACAGCATAAATATCTAAAGATGCTACCTCCCACCCCCTTTGCAGAAAGTTCAATGAGAGCACGTGCACGTACTGTGGCGTGATCTTCTTTGTCAAGCTCTATTTTTGCCCAAATCAAAGGAAAAAAGTGTTTATGTTCAAGTGACTCTGGAGATCCCTCACAACCACACCGACTGACAACCCGTTTGTGCTATATTTCGCACACATGTCACACAGACAAGAAACTGGAAGGGAAAAGTAATTTATTATGAGTGGACTTGTGTTTGACAATCACATAGTGTGTTCCCAGCTGAAGACTCCTTTCATTTAGACAATATTATCTTTAGTCTTTTCCTCTCACTTCCTGTCTTGGTTTGCAGAGCATCGTGATCTCAAGGACATATTCTTGGTGTTCTTGGCTGTAATAATGAATTGTCACCCTCTTTGTATGTCTTCTGTGCACATTCGTGTTAAATATTTGAGCATAGTTGCTGTTACTAACACAGCAGCTTACGTAGATAGAGATTAACATGTAACAAGCAGATCTAAGCTAAGCATTGGCAGTCCCCATCATTACAAACATTCATACTACGTAAGTCTGAGCCTGGAACATCCATTCTAGCTGTAAAGATCTACCGAGGCAATTTTGAAGTAACCAGGCTATATACACTGTAGGGATCAAATGATTCACGGCTACTGCTAACATTCAGTGCTGTCTAAGCACTCAAATACTTTCATTTCAGTGTAATAAAAATATTTTTTATATGGCTTCTGGCATCAAAGACCAGTGCCCTGAAGTGTTGTTTTTACCCTGCTGTTTGTCCTGTCTTGTCATGACTGTGAGCCTCCATGGACGATGTATTATTTAAACAAGAGGGTGGTTAGAGATAGGAAATACTCTGGAGTGTATCATGGCTTTAAGGGTTCAGGTAGAAACAGAGAACATAGCCACTCATGCATGCGCATAGCCAACAGTGTCAACATGAAAAAGATGGAGATGTCGCCATCTTGTGGCTGCTGAATATGAAGGCTGCCCTCAAATTAGCTCTCAAACAATCACACCTCACAAACAGCACATACACACAATAAACACTTTAAAAAAAACACAGACTTACATTGAACCAGAGCAGTATCCAGTAAAACATAAATGCCAGCCTGTGTTGTCAAAGCTCACTATGAATAATTTTTCCTAACTTCAAAATGAACACTCTAGATGTTATATGTAATGTTCAGGAAATGGACAGATGGCAGGGCTTTCTCCATATGTTAAAGCTAATGACTATAGGATATAAAAATAACAGAGCATTAAAATGCATGCAGGACCTGTGAGATACAGTCTCACAGCTTGATCTCTTGGCAGTGGGGGTAGTGGGTTGCTTCAAATAGAAATTTGATCCTTTTAAACTTTGATGAATGAGAGCATGATGCAAAGTACTAATTCATAATGAGCAGCTGTGCTACTTTTTTGTTGTACTTGAATTTTCTGTGATATCCACAAACATATATATTGTATGGGCCTCTATGTGTGTGAGGCCTATTCTTACTTTTAACTCTTTATTAATCTCAACTGGGTTATGTTTTACATTGACTGTAAATGCACTTGAAAAGTGCATGATATATCACAAATGTCCTTAATATATCCGTATGCATACATTTTTGTAGTGTTTCCCAGAATCAGGATTAGTGTACAGTTTTGAAAAGCTGTTCAAAGCACCTTCTAGAGTGTGTCATGCTTTGTTTAATCAAGAAAACCCTATCCTTTCTACAAGTGCTCTCCTTGCCTCAGCATATGTTTGGTATCGCTATCGTCTGTTGTCGCAAACACCTTTTGTCTTTGAGTGTCTTGTGCGAGCCCATTCAACTACACCTTTGATGGTCAAGCATGTCTCGCAAATTTAAATGACTGAGATGCTGGCCATCTTCGAACCAGGCTTTTGATCACAGGGCTCTTCTGCAGGGCCATCTTTCTAATTAGAAGTTAACTGTGTGTGTCCTTGCTCATGAAACTCAATAGCCCCTACACAAAGGCCACTCTGTCCATATGAAGATATTGCCTTTGATCTGTGAGAACAACATGTTTACAAATCAAAGACTGTTCTTCAGCCGGCCATAATGGTGTGTTACAGCTTGTGTGAGCGCTGGTGTTGGATGTGTGTGTGTGTACATTAATGCAGCTGAAGAAATATCAGATTACATGTTTATCTTAATGAATACTAAAGTATGTATCTCATCCCAATAAGTGCATGTTCCAGGAAAAAGATGGACTTACAGTCTGAAGCTGTTGTTTTGGCGTAGCCAACAGTATATCTCATATAACATTATTCCTGTCATGGTGAAGTGTGAACTTTCAGCTTAGGTGTAGCTCCATCAATAGCACAAACAATGTGTACCGTGACCTCTTCTCCTGAGTGTATTTTGTGTTTGTGTGTGTTTGTAAGGCTGTTCCAGTAGAGGTTGAGAAAAACAGCAACACTTGTGATATGAGTAGTAGAAATGAGTAGAAGATGCACACTGCTGCACAGGACATGCTAGCATTTTGGCTCTAGGAATGGAAGCGGCGGTCTGGCTGTCGTTCATCACTTTTGTCCACACTGAAATATCTTAACAACTATTGGCCATCGGCGTAAATTTCTGTATAGACATTGATGTCTATGATTTACGTGGGCCCCTGTCTTTTACTCTTGTGCCACCATGAGGTTCATACAGATGGGGGACAAATTAAAGGAAATTCCGAATAAAAGTGGAGAAACATATCAAATGCAGCTGCTTCTGTCCACCAGGGCTCACTGAATGGTTTGGTTAGTATGAAAATTATGTGAATAAAATGCTGCAGACTTTATAGTGAAATTTTCACTAATTTCCCCATGGGTACAAATAAAGTAACCTAACAGCAACCAGATCGCAACCCAATCTATATTGTCCCCCATCTGTATTTGTGGCTTTGAGTGAAATGTCTTAACGTTTGGATGGAGCGCCATGAAATTTGGATACACACATTCATGTCCCCCTCAGGATAATTTCTAACCACTTTGGTTATTCCTGAATTTTTCATCTAGTACTGCCATCATCAGGTCAAATTTTAATTTGTCCAATACTTTGGTTTATGACTAAACACTTAAATTACATTCCCATCAGCCTCAGCTTTGTGTTTAGTTCTAATTAACAAATAGTAGCATGCTAACACGACATGCTAAACTAAGATAAACATTATGCCTGCTGAACGTCAGCATGTTAATATTATTGTTGTGAGCATGTTAACATGCTCATGTTAGTTCAGCCCTTAGTACAGCCTGACAGAGCCGATGGCATGACTGTAGATTCTTTGTACCTGGTCAGTGCACTTGCATATCATTTTTTCGGCAGTGCAGTGCACTGCTTCATTTTGCTGCACTGTGATGCTGCAAAAGTTGAGGCAGAATCAACCAGATGACCCTGTCCCCCACTCTGAGTTTGCTACGATGGTGTCTGTACTGAACCAACACAGTGGTCTCATTGAAATGAATGCTGCATCGGCCTGAATGCAGCTTTGTATAATTGCCCCTTTCCTTTCACTCCAAGCCATACCCTCAATCTTTTTATAGCTCATACCCTTTGAGTCAAGGCATTAACTTCTGCCATTTGCTATTAACTACAAATCTGTTTATTTTAAATTGCTGCCTTATGTTCCTGTCTGTGTCCTCTGTATATTTTACATTGCTTTTAAGCAAACCACAGGTTTTTAGACAGAAAACATTTTTTTTATTTTATACAGCTACTGCACTCAGTTCATACCAAAGATCTGAATTTTATTTTGAGATTGCTTGAGACGTACTTCTTCAAAGTGAATCCCATGTTGCGTTTTTTATTTTGGAAACATGCACAATTGTTATGCTGTGATATAGTCATGAACAGGGACTGTTCTTTCAGAGTTTCCCACAGGCCAAAAAATTTATTTTAGGTGTTGGAACCCAAAGGGGGAATTGGGCTGGATGGGGGGGGGAAGCTGAAAACAGCATTAAGCATTGAAAGTCAGTTGCAGCTAGAGCCCCTGAATTCATAAAAGATTTCACAAGTATGTACCATTCTGGCACATACTGACTGACTGATCTGTCAGCCAAGTAGGGATTTGACAGTGAGAAATAATAAATACAAACACTGCCACAAAAGGATTATTTTTGGGCAGGCTACTAAAATAAATTGTGTACATGAGAAACACTGGTTCCCAGTTAGTGTTAGTGTAAGCTCAGACATCAGAGCCTTGAGAGTAACCTTTCCACAGTATCTTTCCACACTGTCTTTGGCTATTCTAACAACATGGCTTGTGATTGAAATAATGTTAATTTAATGAAACACTTGCATGTGTGGGATTTTGAAAAAAGAGGACATGCGTGCACCAGTAAGGAAATGTTTGTAAAGCACTCTTAGTGTTCAGAAACTGCAGCCAGCAACTGCCTGGAATAGTACAAAAGATATATTCATAAATGTAAAAATGTATGGTATGCCCTGGAAGGTGGTCGTACTCTGCAGTTATGTGGAATGTGCACCATTTGTAGTTAATGGGAATAAACTACACAAACTCTGGCACAGTCATTTACTTAAGTACTGTGAAGTTTCATACACAGCTATCCAGGCCCACCTGAATACCTCTCAGTTACAGAATTGAAATCATTGGCTGTATATCCCCCGGCCACCTCTTGGTGCTGCCCCAGTCCTGACCACAGCTTTACTCCCCTCACTGTGGCCCATAGCTACTTCTCCACTCTCTGCCTCTAATCCTGTACGTTATTTTCACAACCCCGATCCTGGGACACCAGATCACTGTCCAATTACCTGGTTCATTTCAAATATCTACTGGAAATCAACACCACAGGCTCGCTCCTGTGGAAGTCCAAAGGACATTCCACGCCCAGCATGCAGCTACTTTTAGTGTGTCTGTGCTTCAACGTGTGTGTGCGTGTTTTCCAATGCATTTCTCGTTGCGCCGCAATTAACAAGTGCAGAGCCATCTTTGACTTAGCGGATGATTTAGGCTCAGCAGTCTGCATATGAATCATTCTGACAGATGTTGTTTAGCGATTGTGTTTCACATAGAACATTGCTAGTATCAACGCAATGGCACTCTAAGTTGTTTTCCTCAGCTACAGTCAATCAGTAAGGGACAGGTGTATCAAGCTGGTCTCTAATATGAAACCCTTGAGGTCTCTTAAGGATAATTCATGCTTATGTAACCACTATTTCAATATAGCCTGAAGTGTTGTGTTGTTTTGTTGCATCACCATGGTTAGTAAATGAAACAAACGCTGTTCACTTCCTTTTATGAGACAAATTATCTCATGTAACAGATTGTGGGGGTCGCTGTAGTTGTAGCTCATTATCATTGATGAGAAAACTGCCTGTTGAATTTTGTTTAAATATCTATCATTTGTAATGCATAATCTGCTAGATTGTTGCATTAAACTTAGGAAAGTTATTTAAAGTTGTTTAAATCCTTGAAAAACTGACTAATGACTTACTTACCATTTGAATGTATATCTACTGTTTGACAAGCAGTTGCATTGTGTCCTTTTATACATACAGTATGTGACATGAATTAAAAACATGACAAAGGCAGGTAGTATAGGGGCGACGGCTTTTGAAAAGTGACTACAGCTGGCGGATTGTCACTGGCAAATTCACAGCTGGCACATTACAGGCATTTGTGCCTCAACAGTCCTTAACAGTGCAACAGCTTCTGAATATTTGAATTATCATCACATTATTAAACCTATTTTGTGAAGGTCTCTTATGCTTCCCTTAATGAATCACACTAAACCAAAAAGTTCTGTCTTGTCTTGTCTTGTCTTCTCCTCTTCCCACCTCAGTCTTGTGTGATGTTGAGAACTCATTCCCACTGACTGTCACTCATCAAGACTCTTGTTCCCCAAACTAATTATCACATAAGCAATAGTAACAACCGTGGTGTAACACAGTGTCTTCACCGAAACGTGGACATTTGCTGTTCTTTCACCCATTAACCTGGTTATTAATACTGTGAGTGTGCTGTAAAATGGTATTGAATGCTGTTGTGGCGAAACAGAAGAACAGGTGGAGGAGTGTTTGCCAGAGCATTGTGTTAAGAGCATGGATGCAGGCCATAGGAGCTTATCAGAGGTAGCTAGAGGACCCCAGTAGTGATCTGCTAATAAATCCTATGCCCCTGTCAAGCACTACCTTCCACTCCTCTGCTCTCTTCTCCTCTGTATTTCCTCGCCTTTCAAAATGTGTTGTTCCCCCACCAGCTGTGACCTTTATTCAAAGGGGTCGACAGAAAGAGTGTGTGTGTGTCAGCATGTGCATGAGGAGGGGGAGTTGCACATGTGTGTGTTTGGAAGAGGGAAGGCAGAGAGAGTTGATATAACACGAAGAGGAATTGTCACCTCGGCTGATTGAAATAGGTTGCCATACATATGAGTCCAGATCAGACACAGAGAGTGATTGTTACTGTTAACACTTTTCAAATCTAGACCAGTGCTTGTTGTAGCTTTTTATTTGCTCTGCATTGGGATATTAAATTCATCCAGGGTATGATCTATTTTTTTCTTTTTTGAAAAGATGGGGCATAAAATAATCTGCTTATGGAACATCCCCTGAAGAATTTCCTGCTTTTTAATATTTCTGTCTGCGTTAAAGTGGATAACAATTCACTTGGATTGGAGATTTATATACAAGTGCTACAGACGTGTCTTTTGTTGGAGGGCTGCCCTCGGCAGTGCGCTGGTTCAGTGTTAGAGCTTATCGCTGTGGGACAGTGTGAGGGATGGCTTCTTGGGATACAGACTCGGAGGATTCATGCGATTGGGGCGACTCCTCTGAAGAAGCGACATCATCATCAGAGGAAGACGAACTTGATGTCAAATATAATAAAGAGTAATGCCAATCATGCAGTGATGTGTGTTGCCTGTTGAGAGAAAATCTTTGTGTGCCAGTGCCATTTATAGAGCGAAATTTTGACTGCTCCCATTGTTAATTAATAATAATGTGATTTAATGATGGCCTCACGGTGTGTGACTATTGGATAAAATATGCCACTTTTGCCATTGTGTCTGATTGTGTTGTCTGATCTTTTTGTCCAGGGAGGACATCAGGACGGCCAACGTCATTGCAGCAGAGGCCGTCACCTGTTTAGTCATCGATAGAGAGTAAGTATCAATAAAATTACAGAGTACAATGACTGTTCTACATTATCAATACTTTTGTTAGCGTGATAAAACATAAATTAATTTGGCCAGTGGGATCTCAATGAATGAATGAAAGTCTGTCGTGAGCAACTAGCCCACAAATTCTGCTTTGCTCATTATATCAGGCAAGGACAATTTCTTGGAAGTGCTACCTTTACTGAGACATCAACATGGAGCCACTTTTATACTTTTGTGGCTGAACGTGGCATTTAGTTCTCATTGCTTTTATTCAAAAAGATTATCCAATAACTGCCAACAATAAATGTGAGGTGAGAAATAGATCATGTATTTGCATGAATTCTCCACTTTCACTTCACTTCACTACAGCGCCTTGTTTGAATTTCTGCTCACAAAGTTAGGGAGCCATAAAAGGCAATCAGGCCATCACCTGAAGTCTGCTGATTGATCCAGGTTCTATGTTCAGGACTCACCTAATTCTCGTGTAAATGTTTTAAACTTTGGACAGATTTGGGCTTGCTTTGTTGAAGTGGTATAAAGAAGGCAGGTGTAAAATGTGTCCTAAATCATAAATCAACTTCAGAAAGGAATTTAGATTGATGCTAGATTTGTGCAGGAATGACTAACAAGGGCTATTTTTTCCACTGATGTGTATCAGGAGATTATCAAAGAACAAAACCATATTTTTCAGCTGCCCTTTACACTCATCTCAGCTCTTGCTGTTTTCCTTTTATTGCAGTAACATGGTTTGACATTTTATTACAATGTTTATCACCTTTTTATGGTAAGATCGTATTTAAAAAATAATGTTGATCCAGAGAAGTTCATATCAGGTCAGTATCTAAGGGAATGGTTTAGTCTTTCAGCATCTCCATCTATAGCATTACGTTGTGTGGTGAGAATAGAGAGACAGATGGATATGGGATGTAGGGAGGAGATGGTAGATGATATCACTACTCAGGGCCTCCCTCCGGCCTCAGGGACCACAGCGGGCACAAATGGGCCATCCTCAGAGCTAGTAGAGGAGATAGTGAGTGAGTCATCCAGCACAGGTGATTACCACTGCCTTTCACTCTGCCTGTCACACAAGCAGCTAAATGCTAGCTCATGGTGTGTGTATGTCACCTAGCCAGGCCAGTTTTTGTGCAGAGGCCAGGTTGTTAGTATTTATTATTCTGTTATTCTGTGTGCATTTGTACGTTTTCTGTATGTCCAGGGTGGCTTAAAAGGTAGAATATTGGATAATTGCAGGAGATGTGTGTAGATAAAGGAGGAGATAGAGACACACTGTAAGCAGCAGAACATTTAAAGAAAAGCTCGGAAACAGTCCCAGCTCACAGGCGGTATCAACAGGAGAAAACACCGTATGTATTACATCTTCTGGCTGACAGCTTGATGAGCCTTGCATTAAAACTGTCTCCGTTAGTTGGTCTTCCAGGATGTTTAGAGTCTTTTTCATAGGCAGCCATACTTCAGAGAGAAATGAGCCGAAGCGTAGTTGTCATTTTTCATGTACCAGATCTCCCCAGGAGGTGCAACTTTGGAGGATTTTATTTCAGCGTATTATGTATCTAATTATTCTGCAGTTAACATCTCATCATAATCTTTCTTTAACATCCATATCCTGAATTCAATTCTGGTATATCTAGTAAGAAAATTCACAAATATTATTGTTATTGTATTATTAAGGCCTGAAAAGAACATTTCTTTCAGGTAAATAACTTAACTCAGTACTAAGTGCTAGAAGAGTAATGTTAACTTCTGTAATATGCAGTGATATTTTTTACTCAGTGCAGTATGTTTTCTATTCTATAATTCATTCATTAAAAAATGTATGTGCAACCTCTACTTTTGTCTTTAAAATTCCCACTCAGCCCCCATTTTTACACCTCTTCAGGGTAGCTCTGTCTTCTCGTCTGTTCATAGTGATTTTTAGAGGCTCTCTAAAAGTAGACTGATGAATATTTAATAGTAACTGGCAGCATTTTTTATGGCGGTCTAGCCATATATTCTACCAGCTTCTTATACGGATCGTCTGCAGTGTACAGACTGCTTTAATTCCTCTAACCATAAGCTATTCATTCATTACATACTGTAAGCCAACGTAACATTTACCATCTGTGTTGCAGTTCATTCAAGCACCTGATTGGAGGTTTGGAGGACGTGTCCAGTAAAGGCCATGAGGATGCTGATGCAAAAGCCAAGTAAGATGCATAAATATGCATAAATGAATTAAAATACCCACTATGCAAACAGGTTTTATTGTTTTGTGCTTTGGGCTTGATTTGTCTATTTGTGATCTTTTCTTTTAATCAATTTATTTTGGAAATTCATTTTCGGTCTCAATAACCTTGAGTTGTACCCTATAGTGACCACCAGCTGCAACATTTTTTAAAGGGAGGTGTCTAGGCCAGCTGTTAATGCATTGTGCCTTTAGGTCAGTAACAAGACAATACCCATGTGGCGGGCCAGAAAGCAAAGACTCTGACCTCCGCCTCTATTTCTGGAGGAATTAATATGTACTGTATTTATCGTCACTATGGAAACAAGAGAATAGCATTATAGAAGGCACAGGACATCTTGGCAATGAGGAGGGCATCTTGGAGTTAAGGCAGCTACACAAAATCTGATACCTCGCTCACTCTGTGCCATGTTGTGAGTCATGGTGAGGAGAAACAGCAACCCAGTAATGACAGATTAGAGGTGCCTAGAGAGAGTAGGGACAGCTTATCGCCACAGAAAGGGATAGAGAGATGTAGATAGATGGACGGAGTGAGGAGAGACAGGGAGCGAACGAGACCAGTGGCAAAGCAGAATAGACTCGATGCTCTGGATTTTGTTGCCGACTGCCGAGAGTGTCAGTCATCTTTTGCGAGTCAGTGTAATTTAATCAACAAAGAGCTGAACACAACACCAGTCACTGTGTTGGACAGAGGCACTGACGGAACAGAGAAGACAGGTATAATACGGGGACGCAGAGGCTTGCCTCTGGCAGTCAGCCCTGGCCAGGCACCCCTTATTGCTCACTACCAATGATGATTATTCTGTCAGCAGATGTGTGTGGTGGAAAGACACCAGCAGCATGCATTCTTTACCGAATTATGCCCTAGGTCTTTAAGGAACCTAGTTTAATCGCAAACTGCAATGCAAATGAGTAACACATCACACTTTTGAGTGGCCATTATTTGTAATCTTATTATCATCCCTGTTCTCTGCAGAACTTAACCTTAACATGAAGCCGCTATCTCCCTCTGCTCCCTGAGATCTGTCACATCAAAGCCGTTTTCACCCTGATTAAGGTAGTGTTCACTGCCGTGTGCTGTGCGTGTCATCTGTTGCTGGTGCCCCCTGCCCAGCAGAGCACATGTGTTTCTTCGTGAGGAAAGCCTGAGTCAGGATCCCATGGTGATGGAAACCATCTCTAATTGGTCACAGCGGATAAGCACCATGCAGCGGTACTGTAACTATAGAGCAAACTACAGTTGGTTTCTGTGAGGTTGACAGGTTTTTTCTTCAAAGACTAACTCCCCCATCTATGTACCATGTGCTATATGCACACATGCGTTTTTGATCAAGCCGCTGCTTCTCTCTGCAGGAGGAGCTTCACACAACATAAAGTAGAGCGAAAACTGTCTCTGCTGTAATGTTTCACTTGTGTTTCTGACTGCATCAAATGTTAATTAAGTATTTTGTTTAGTCAGAGGCGAGACTCTGTAGATGAGACAAAAGTCAAAGAATTTCACCATATACTACCATATTACCATAGGCAAAATAATCTTATTGGCAAATCCTGAGAATAAAACTTAAATTATGTTATCTAAGAGCATAGTTGGCCCCCAGTTTTTTTGGGGGGTGTCCTCATGGCTTATAGGTTACAGGTCTAACCATGAATTGCAACGTCCCTAGGTTGCGTCCGGTCAGTTAGGTATGTATACTCAATACAGGGCATGCGCAAGTTTCATAAACTTGGAAAAATTTACCATTTTCATCAAAAAAAAGTGAGCAATGACATGTAGCAAGATCCTTTACTTTGCTAACCATGGCCCATCCACCAAGAAAACCCTTAATGATTGAAGATTGATGAGAAGATATGACCCAGTGTGACTCAGCATGTCGCACATCTGTTAAGCAGGTGCAGGAGTTCAACAAGCAGGAGTTACTGGTAAATAAAAGTGGCATTTAATGAGAGTCAGCTTTAAGGTCAGAGATGCTGTCCTCTCCTCTCTCCTCTCCCTTGAGTCAGGCTAGACTAAGAAGAACTGCAGCAAAGGAAATGAGGATACACACACTCTCTCACACACATATACACTCACACACACATAGGCACATGGGGATTGCATCATTTGTATGATCTCATCCATTCAGATTATCACCCACTGGGGTGCTACTTGACCCGCGCAGGAACACTTTGTACTGCAGTGCTGGTAAATTGATTTGCCATGTAAGACCCTAACATGTCATTTCAACTTCATATAAGGGACCTCAAAATACATGTGCTATGTAACTCACCAGAGTTGTATTACAGTGTTGGATGCAGCTGAGCTCTGTGTCAGTTTTCGGTCAAGGTCATGGTGTAGACATCTATTTAAGGTGGATGTATGGTTCCAGTCCTGCTGGGTCTGCTCGCTGGTATCATATTCCATCTAATGCTTCAGCCGTTCACAGACAAGTGTTATTCTCTGCCAATCTGAAACAAAAAATAAATCTATATGGGTATTTGTGTAACTGCTTTAGTAAATATCGCCGCTATTCATCGACTCCCAGAGAGCCTTTGTGTCCTTGGTTGAGACATAGAGTAACTGTTAATGTTATTTTTTTCCCTGAAACAAATCTATTCTTTACAAATCAGTGCAGTGAGGTGATGAATCCACCAGCTGGTTTCAACTTAGGTTGTCTTATTTTATTAATTTAAAGACGAGTTCATCCTTTTCACAGAATAGAGTATCTGTGTTGATTCTTCCATTGCTTTCTGAACACAATAGCTTCATTTTGTAGTTCAGCTTTGAATTGCTTGGAGGTATTTTTCATCAACAGTAAGCTCCTTACCTGGTTACTTCAAATGGAGCAACACTGCCACCTGCTGGTCAAATGATGCCATTACTTTTAAACCTGTTTAAAGGCCAGCATGATGTAAAATGATACACTCATTCATGGACTCTTTTTATCTCGACAGAATTTGCGTGACCTCCTTCATTAACAGGACCCAAACACCTCATGTCCACATCTCATAGCTTTTGTTTGTGCTTTTCAGTGTGTATGGACTGATAAGTCCATGTGTGCGAACCGATGTCAACGTGACCTTATTAATAATCCTGTCCCACACACAGTAATTCCTGTACTCTCGGGTTACTTCTCTCTGTCCTTTTCTTAAGCGGAGAGCATTTTGGGATTTGGAGTGTTCTCTGGGACGGCTTCCAGATGATGGGAGGGGAGAGAAAGATGAAAGGGTCACCTGTGATCCATCTAGCAGTGGTGCCTATATACACACACACACACACACAAATAAACACAGACTGTCCTGGTAACCTGATGTGTTTCTGAGAAACACCGTGCTCAGTAGCGTGCCGACACGTGCCTCCGCTGGGCTCCCACTGGCAGGCAACTTAGGGAAAAGTTTTTATTATTATCACTTGCAGTGTGATGGAATAAACTTTTCTTTCCACGTCTCAAATGGCCTCCTAAGCTCAGAATGAAGTAAGAGTCTCATTTGCCATTTTTATTAATCACATTCAAACCTCGAACGTAAAATGAATCATTGTTTAACTTTTACGTAAATAAATGTAATCCCTGCTGCTCCATTAAGATAAATTAAGATAAACTGACTTATCTGAACAAGTCTTCCTTATAGGGAAGGGATTTTTTGGATAAATGTCTGTAAATGGCATACAGCTGTACTGTCTGTGTGTGAGAAAAGACCTGACGTTGAGGCGATAGTATGTTCTGAGTGACCCAGAAAGGGCTGTCCAGGCTCAGATCTGTCCTAAGCCCACTGATCCAGAGACTGAGCTGATGAAACTCTGTCTGGATCAAACAATAACCAGAGAAGACATGGGGCATCTAGGGATAAGGGATGGACACGTGGAAACAGTCTCCACTGCCATCATTGGTGTGTTCTGCGGCAGAGCCAAGGCATGTCTTCAGAGCCAGCTGAGCAGTGAGCAGCTCGTGTGGCTCTATGTTCTTTCCCATCAAGAACGGGGCACACAATCTTGTCTGTGTTCAAAGAGAGGTCAACGTGGTGTGCCAGAGGACTAAACTCAAACACATCCTGTTCCCGTGTTCATATTTATACACACCACATCCTCAATAACATCCTTCATAGATTACTATGAGTTAAATCCTCTAAGATTTGCAAACAAATGAGCTAAAGGAAAGACGGATATTTTGTCTCAGGTTGTTGAAGGTGGATTATCTCTTCTTTCACCCTTCATCTCATCTCTAATCCTGTTCCCGTTCTGTCTTTTTTCTTGCTTTTCCCGGCACCACAGGTATGAAGCAGAGAATGCGTTTTTCTTCAATCTCAACCTAGCTGACTTCAACATCATCGACACCCTGGGAGTTGGTGGCTTTGGTCGTGTTGAGCTGGTAGGGGGCACTGCATTGTGACAGTAACATCCGTTTTGTTTTGTTTCTCACGGCTTTACAATTGCGCAGGTTAACGAGCAAGGCTGACCTTTTGTATTTGAATTTCTTTCTTTCTGTCTCACCGCAGGTTCAGCTGAAGAGTGATGAGAACAAAACCTTCGCCATGAAGATCCTGAAGAAGCGGCACATTGTTGACACAAGACAGCAGGAGCACATTCGTTCAGAGAAACTCATCATGCAGGAGGCCCATTCTGACTTCATTGTTAGGTGAAGAACAACTTCATTGAAAGGCAATATGAATAAACTACTGTATCACAAGGATCAGTACTTCATTACATCAGAGCCAGAAGGACATGATTACCAAAGTTTTCTTTAAAGAGCTTGCAGGTTCTTTGTCATGTTAATAAAAAAATGTCCTCCCATTTTTCTGTTTTCTTATCTGCGTATGCTGGAAAATCCTCCAAAGTCTTTTGACCCTCAAAGAAGCAACAGCAAATGAGTTTTTATTTTTGTGCTACACTATACAGTATATACAGTATACACATCCTATCAAATGATCTGGTTGTTGTTGCCTAAGCCACAAATCAATCAAAGTTTTCTTTCAATCATATATTGGATATGGTAAGTAGTATCAACAAAAATCTAAACTGAACAAATGGTTCGATTTCTGACCATATACTGTGTTTAGAAAAATAGATAACAGGCAGTTTGATCTAAAAATATTTCCTACACAACTGGGGAGGTTGTATTTGTGGTAATTAGATTCCAATGCAGTTTTTTCCTGTGTTTTCAGACTCTATAGAACATTCAAGGACAGCAAGTACCTCTACATGTTGATGGAAGCTTGTTTAGGAGGAGAGCTGTGGACCATTCTTCGAGACCGGTAAGATTTATTACTAGCTTAGCTGTGTATTATTTCTGTCAGTGGTACTACCACAACATGTAGAGAGTTGCGGTTACAGTAATAGTTCTAAAACCTGACTTTTCCCTACAAGGTTAGATAGGCATAGATATTTTTCTGGAACAAGCTTACTTTCTGTGTTTAACGCCTAATACAAAACTTTTATTGGAAATCTGCCAGGAAATCCTAACCATAGCGAACCTCCTGGTGTAAGAAATTACTATTTTGCTGGACTACTGCAGTTATCTACCACACAGTTCACAGTTCGGCTCTATTGTCCTGCTGTGCTTCTAGAGGTTCATTTGAGGACGCAACCACCAGGTTTTACACAGCTTGTGTGGTGGAGGCCTTCGCCTACCTACATTCCAAAGGAATCATCTACAGAGACCTCAAACCAGAGAACCTTATATTGGACCACAGGGGCTATGCCAAACTGGTAAGAGATCAATAAAACTTCTAAGTCGCAGTTTCTGCGAAATCTCATCTTTCCATGATGCTAGAATGAAGGATCAGTTGAAACTGTAATAATTGCCTCATGTTGGCTCTGAATAAAAGTTTAATTATAGTATAAAGAAAAGTAAAATTCACGGGGCGGCTGTGGCTCAGGAGGTAGAGCGGGTTGGGCCGTTAAGTCGGCGGTTCAATCCCTGGCTCCCCCTGGTTGCGTGTCGAAGTGTCCTTGGGCAAGATACTGAACCCCGATTTGCCCCTGGCGGCTGTTCCGCCAGTGTATGAATGAGTGTGAATGCTAGTTTCTGTTTGAGCACTTAGGCTCAGTGTATGAATGTGTATGACTGATGGTGAATGCAGATGTAGTGTAAAAGCGCTTTGAGTAGTCGAAAAGACTAGAAAGGTGCTATACAAGTACGGAGCATTTACATTTAAAATTAAGTATAACACTGTTGTGTGTTGTTTTATGGTACCACCAATCCCTTCTCTCCTTGTGGAGAACAGTTTGTAGCTTGTGGGAGAGCAGCAACCAGTTGCTCAACTCTTCCTATACATCATGTCGTAGTGAAAAACTGTAATATTGGAATAATGGCACAATTTCCAGCTTTGCCATCATTGTGCAATAGAATGAATATGATCTGATACAAATAAGTACTAAATTGATCTGAAATTAATTCATATTCTTCTTCAACTTCTTTTCTGACTGACAGAACAAAATCCTTCTTTCCCTCAGGTCGACTTTGGCTTTGCCAAGAAGATCGGGTTTGGGAAGAAAACGTGGACCTTCTGTGGGACACCGGAGTATGTAGCACCAGAGATCATTCTGAACAAGGGCCACGACATCTCAGCTGACTACTGGTCTCTAGGAATCCTCATGTTTGAGCTCTTAACTGGCAGGTACACACAAGCTTGGGCCTGTCCATACAACAAATATCTTAAGTGTTCCCTGTGATAGCATATAAGTACGAAAGCCCTGAGGGGCAAGTGATAAAAAACTGATGTTGACCCCTTTTCTAAGTCTGATCTAAATTGTTTTCTCTCCTGTTCATGATTTAAGAACAGGTAAAAAATGTTTTCCCGGGATAATCTTTCTAAGTTCCTTAAAAAAAACAGTTTGGGGGAAAAATGTAGCAGGGCTTCCGTATATATGGGACCATACACAACAAATGAAAAAGTATTTAGAAACTTTGGAGAGTTTTCTTCTTCGGTGCACAAGGACATAGTTGAATGTCCCTTGATTAAATTCTTGTATAGCAATGCATTTTCCACTCAAGACTAATATCTTTGCCTCTCTTTTGTAGCCCTCCATTCTCTGGCCCTGATCCTATGAAAACCTACAACATCATCCTGAGAGGCATCGACATGATTGAATTTCCAAAGAAGATTACCAAAAATGCTGCCAACCTAATCAAAAAGCTATGCAGGTGAGTGTTAGTGCTTCCAGCAGTTTAAACTCTTCATTGAAGTGGTCTGAATGCTGAATCATCATGTGTGTTATAATTTTTTTTCTGCTACAGGGATAATCCTTCTGAACGACTGGGAAACTTGAAAAATGGTGTCAAAGACATCCAAAAGCACAAGTAAGTATGTCTATAAATGAATATAACCCTCTTATTTATTCATTTCTCTCCACGGTATAATTGTGCAGTAAAACACAATTATGAAATTAAGAAGCCATGCTGTTTTTCCTTTAGATGGTTTGAGGGCTTTAACTGGGAGGGCTTGAAGAAGGGGACGTTGACGCCTCCTATTATCCCTAATGTAAGTGCACGCTTCTGATAGCCTTGCTCATTATAATTGTCTTTCTAGTTGCCCTTATGTAATCACTCTCACACTCCCAATCCATTTGTTGCCAGCTTGTTTAGTCTTTCTGTCAATTATTCTTCTGTCATTCTACCAGGTCACATCAGCAGTCGACACAAGTAACTTTGACAGCTTCCCAGAGGACAACGAGGACCCGCCTCCTGATGACAACTCCGGCTGGGACGTTGATTTTTGAAGCCCTCCTCTCCCCTTAAAACCAAAAGAAACTCTTCTTTTGTTGGCTTGGAGGCCATCTCGAGGACATGGCTGTGTTGTTAAAAAAACTGCTTTAAAAATGAATGAGAGGATATGGAAAAGAAGATAAACGAACGGATGGCACACCCTCTGGGTCACCAATATGCCTTTATTTCACTGTGGCTCTGGATCAAGCATTTATAATGGGACTGCTGTAGCACTTCTTCGATGTAGTCTTACACTCGGCTCTAAAGGAAAAGGCAAAGGAAGTGCAGGGATACACATATACACAACGCAACAATGGTTGATAATGGAGCCAGGTTTTCATGGTTAACGGAAAAATGTTTAGTGAGCGTATTCATTTTCTTGTGTTTTGGTTCGAGGATAAATACGAATGAAAATGGATGGATGGCTTAAAAAGAGAGGAGGCTGATGATTGATTCCCCCCCTCCCTGTATTTGTTTGTCCATAATATTTGGTGAAATATTTGCTGGACTTTGGGAGGGTATAAGATGTTACTGCAGTTGCTCCCTGGTTTTTAACATGCAGCTGCTTGCTGCACTCTCTGATACTTTCCAGAGATCTACTCCTTACAGTTTGCAAGTAAAACTGGTATCAAGTGCTCAAGACTAACCTGAATGTCACTGATTTTCTTATTTAACATCCATATGGCATACAGCATGTACGGTACATAAAGTATTTGAATTTACACAAATACAGCCGGGCTAAAATCAAATACTTGGTACACTTTATGTAAGATTAACCTACCTTGAAAAGCACAAACACTGTGCATTCAGTGGAAAGAGACACGACTCTTTAAGTGCCCTGCTTAAAATTTATTGATTCATACACCGACACACATGAAATGTCAGCTAGTATTTCCATGAAGTAACATGTCATTATGCACTTAAGACCATTAACTGAGAAAATCAGCAGTTATAGCTAATTTTTAAGCTTCAGTGGATGACGTCACACTCGTTTTCTGATCTTTAATATGCTTTTTATCACGCATATAAATGCTTCTCTACCTGCATACATTTTGTTTTTTAACCACCCAAATGCCTCGTCCTCTGTTCTCGCCTGTATAGATCTGACATAACTGTGAACATGGTTTCAATGTTTTTGGTGCTGTTATAAATTTTAATAAGCGATGGTGATATGACAGTACTGGTTATTGTTTTTGTATTATTTGTGCTTGATTTAAAATGTAAAATACTTAACTTCCTTCCTTAGAAAATTTGAGACTTGTTTCACTTTGTAAATTTGAGTGAAGATTAGTTTGATGTCCCTTGACACTGTTACATTGTGCTAAATGGTATTCTCTTTAAACAGGCTTAAATGTGTTAAGTTCATCTCTATAAATTAACTACTTCCTAATTTCTTTGGAGGCAAAATTGACCACATTCACATTATCTTAAGACTACCTTGACTTAACATCATCATAGGGAGGTTTTAGAATGTCTGCTAGAAACAGGCAGCGAAAGAAAAGAGGGAGATTATATTTTATGAAACTCACAACTTTGACCACTAGCGCCATGATCTCTCACGTCCTAAATTCAGAGCATAAAATCAGAAGAAATGTAAGTGCCTTAAATCAATGGCATTCAAAATTAACATCACAAGTCCTATTCGATGCTGCATGAACACATATACACCTCAAAAAACATATGTGTCCTCTTAAATGGCTGCTTCTCATCCTTTGTTATATCTAATAAATACATCAATCACTCTGGAAAGGGAATTTCTAGTCATTTGATGGCTGACAGAACTGTATGTGACACATTTCCTGCTTACCCCTTTGATTTATCAAACAGGAACCATTATTAAAACTGATAGCAATGTATCATACCTGAGATAACTGCAATGACATGCTTTTCTCTACATATGGTCTTATGAAGTCAATCACAACTGGTCTGAGATAAAGTGAATCATAAATCGGAGGGACCATCCATCATCAAATGTTTTTGTCATGAAATGTAAGCATTTAGCGATGGCAAGAATGATTTGCAGTTTTGCCACTGTTGACAATCCTTGACGGTATGATAGTACTGATCATAATACATTTAAATTCTCATTTTATTGTTTGGTTTGACTGAGCCAATGTTTTATCCCAGGAAGTCAAACAGATCAGAAATTTAAATTATATAAATCATTGGATAATGTTGATGGAGAGCTAAAGATGAGAAGAAATCTGTAGGCATACCATAAGTATTTTACTGTATTAAGAGCAGGTTATGTTTATCACAAAGCCTTATGTATGCCATCGCAAACCATTGGTTTTGAGTCTTATATTAATGCCTTCTGCGATGTTACCTGATATTTGCCTTGCGTTATATGTTGTTTCTTCTGCTGTAAATTGATTTTGCAGAGTGCCACCTGTAAGATTTTTAAAATTATAGAGTAAAAACCATACTTTTGAGTGGTGTTTGTCTCTTAATTATTCTGAAAAGCTCGGAATGATTGAAAGCTTGATTGTAGAGATTTTACAGCTTGCTCTAGTTGCCACAAGAGGGAGCTGCAGGTAAGACAGATCTCTCAACCCCACTGCCTCAGCTTGACGTGAAGTGGTTATGTTTGCCTGCGATCTAATAATCAGTCCACGAGTTAATGTTATCCACTTACTGGTAAGTGCAGATGATTCAGCTTCTCTGGTCTCTCTGTGTTATTCGCACAACAGGTCTGTTTGGGGGACCGGGGAACGGCTTCAGCCATAACAACAGGGTGACACCTCTGCGAGATCAAAGGGGATCAAAGTGCATCAAAGAAGCTCACCTTACCAGCACTGGCATTTAGTAAAGTGGAGATGAAAGCTCAACTTCAAAAGATATACAGCAATTCAAACGTGCAAAGTGCCACAGTGTGTATGGCACATCTCTGTGTCATACACACACAAACACACGCGTGCACGCATACACTTATCCTCACACTCATACATCGGCTAAGTGACCAGCAGATGACGTCCAAGTGCCAAGAAATGTTCATGGAGACTACAGAGACTTCAGGGCTCGTTTCCATCACGCACTTCAGCACCTGTAAGCTTTTCTTTCTTTCTTTTTAGAGCTTCGCTTGTTTCAGTCACTGCTCAACTGATCACTGCTTAATGCAATAAACAAATATTTGCTGTAAGTCGACTGTTTACTGTGGGGGGAATGTGAAGTCAAATACACACCTTTAAGACCTGATTTGAATATTTCAGAGTATCTTTTTTTTTTTTGGAAGGATGGGCATGTCTTGCAGTGGAGGAGCCCCAAAGGGTCAGAGAGCAGGGACAGATCAGAGTTGCCTTTAATCTCCAAGTGCCAGTCAAGCCTGAAAGCCCTCGCCACGGAAGTCCATTAATTCGGTAAACTTTTCACACCCCTTAATGGTCTGCATATCCTACACATTGATGTCTGCCACTGGTGTAATCAAGCACACTTTAGAGGATAATTGCCCCCCTTGCAATCAGAAGGATCAAATGAAGTAGTTAATCGACGCAAGTAACTTCAATCACTGTCTTCACACAGCCAAAGGGCATTTAGGCTACTTGAATGTCAAAGAAATGGGAATAATCACACAGCTATTTTTTTTATAAAGATGGAGGGGAAACAGAAAATCACACATTTTGAAGAATACTTGCAGGTTTTGTTACAGTTATAAAACTAAATAAGTTAAAAAGTAAAATGCGATGCAATATTCTGTAGCATATATTTGTTATTTTAGAGTGATTATATCTATACAAGTCATTTAAGACATGGTGAACTGTTGGCATCGATATTTTTTGGAAAAACAAAGGAATTCTGATCCTTTGAATAAGTTATCCACGGAACAAGAACAACAAAGTTTGTGAGTGTTTCATTGGAAAACAAGAAGTCACACCATAATATATTCTATCGATGTGGTGAGACTATCACAAATATGTTTGAAACAAAGCAGAATAAGGCGCAACAACTGGTGGACAGAAATGAAAACCACTTGTTTTAAGAAAAAATTATAATTGAAAAATAACAAATTATTTTCTTTATTCCTTTATTAAAATGTGATGTGATTTTATACTAAGGAGATTGTGTAAGCCCCGAGTGTGGATATATTTTATTTCCAGTGTGCATCACCGAGTGATGGGCACTCAGACAGACTTTGCAGGTCATTATCATTACACCAACATTGTGAAAGGCAGTCTTGTGCAGGGAGAATAGCCATTTCCGTACAGTGGGGCTCTCTTTGAAATTCCACCCCTCCGCCTTTGTTGTGCACAGCGAGGGGCGGGAAGACAAACAGGTCCACATGTATAAAGAGATCATCCCAGGACTGTGAGGCAAGAGGCTTCCGTGGCGAAACTCTGGAAACTTTGGGATTCAGGATTCAAGGCCGCTTTGGACTTTGTCACTCTTTTTTTCTCCAGCAAAACAGAAGGGATTCCCCCCTCCCCCCCACGTGTGTTTGCGACAGAGCAGAGTTTAAAGGGAGAATCATGCAGATACCGTCAGCGCATCGCTTCTTGGCTGTGTATCTCACGCTCTTTGGATACCTTGGGGACGTTTATATGGGGACAGTCCTGATGAACTCCAACGCCATCAAAAACTTGCCCGGTGCTTCGGGTAGCAAAGGCTATGACAGTGTCAGTCCGAGTCCGCGCACATCTCCCTCCGGTAGCATGGTACACAAATTACCCGTAGACACCTTGCAGGTAATTTCCGTGCGTAAAAGTCAATTTTGTGCGCCATGCCAAAAGTTGCGCTCATGTAAGTTTTACAAGTAATGTCTCAATACTTAAAATGACACGCTTTTTGTCTTTGTTTTTTTTAACAAACTATAGCAGTCAGGTGTTTGTATGGATGATGAAGACTGCGGAGGTGATGAATTCTGCAATGACGTACGAGGCGCCTGCCTGCCCTGCCGTAAGAGCCGGAAGCGTTGCGCACGGGACTCTATGTGTTGCGCTGGAACCCGCTGTAGCAATGGTGAGCAGAGGCGTCCAAACTGCCATAAATACTGACATTTATGCTTTACAAAGTTATTGATAATATTCTGATAGTTGGGAATAGTTTGCTGTAGTCATTGTCTGTCTTGCGTGTCTCTATGTTTACTGGTAACCATTCATTCAAGGGGTGGATGACTTAATATCCACTGTGATATATACAGACCCTAAATGTATTTCTTTCTTTTGTCCTTTGCCATTTCTAGGTGTTTGCCAAGCAAATGACATAGATGGTACAGATACATCCATCATCAATGGCTGGCACAAACACAACAACACCATGGAGCACCATGCCAAGAGGCCCCCCACTGCCAACGGCCATCAGCCTCATGCTGTTAAAGGTGAGTGTCCTGTTAAGAATCATCAATCTTTATTAGGTTCAAGTAACAACACAAGAAGTGTTCAGTGAGGTCTTTTTCATGTAACATATTTTTATCTCTCTCGTCTCCAGGCCAAGAGGGGGAGACTTGCCTGAGATCCGCAGACTGCACCGAGGGTCTGTGCTGTGCCAGACACTTCTGGTCTCGCATCTGTAAACCTGTGCTGACGGAGGGCCAGGTGTGTACCCGCCACCGCCGGAAAGGCACCCACGGCTTGGAGCTGTTCCAGCGCTGCGACTGCGGCGACGGCATGGCCTGCCGACCAGAGAAAGGAGAGCGAGACCACAGTGTCAGCAGGACTGCAGCCCGGAACCTACACACCTGTCAGAGACGCTGACACAAACGCATGGACACAAACAGAGACAGAGATACACACACCCAGCAGAAACCCGCAAATCAGTCACAGACACTGACACTTTTCAGCCTTGCATACACCTGAGATGCTGACATACACACACACAGAGACACCCAACACCTAAGACATTCTTTCCTGCCAAAGTTGCTGACACAAACAGCACCCGGAAGGATAGACATGATTCCTGGAAAAATGATACACCCAGAGGGATGCAGCAGTGCAAGACGGACTGATCCAATTCCTTGTCAACAGATGAGGAGTCAGAAGTTAGGAAGTCACATTTCAAGTCTTGGGAAGATCGATTAATGTCGTCGATAATGGCAGAGCTGTTTTGTTTCTCTTTTGATGGAACTTCAAGCCTCAGTTATTGCAGTAAATTACTGTATTGTAAATATTATCTTGGAGGCAGCACTTAACTGAGTTATTGATTCTGTCAACACCAGTATTATGACATGGTGCTGCATGCTTTGTAAATTTTGTTATATATATTGTTTTATAAGAAAATGTTATATATAGAAAGTTGAATATATTTGTTTTTATTAAACAATACTCTTAACTTTTTGTCTGACCTACTGTGTTGTTAAAAAAAACAAAAGAAATGTCTTGGTTTCACTCAATCTGTTTCAAACAGAAATTATCCTGCAGCAGATAAGATCTAAACCAGTTAGTCCAAATATTAACACATTGGTACGGGTGGGAAATGTTTCTGGCTAATTAACAAGCAGCCAATTCTGGAAAGCAATTTATTTGAACAATCAGTCAGTGGTGTTTAACCCATTTTTCACATGGGCTGAGTGGTTGAGGCTGGATGGATGGTTTAAATGTTTGGCCCAGATATGCTTCTCAAACTCATTACGCACAATTGCTGAAATGTGTGCAGGCACACACACACAACAAACATACAACTTTAATGAGTCATTATTGGAACCCCAACAGGCCTCATCCTGCTGTGGAGTCAGAGGATGGTCTATCAGGGCTATGTCATCAGACAAACATTAAAAACAGGACAGGATGCTGCTGTAAAAATGAAAACTGCAAAGAGTTAATAACAAAGTATATGTGTCCTGGGAAGTGTTTGCCACCTAACCTCTTTGGTGTTGCTGGCTATAGTTTCTAATTAAAACTTCTCTGCCTTCATCTGCAACAGAGCAGATAGCTAGCTATCCAAACTAAAGCCTCTAATTACTTCATCTTACTCAATCTACACAAGGATTCATGAGCTAAGGTGCTCTGCAGCAATTTTTGTGATGCAACAACAACAAAAAAATCTGTCCAATTGCACAGCACATCCCATTTCCTGGCTGTTGTGCAATGGATGTGCTGTAATGTGTAGGTCATGAATCCACCCAAATACACCTTGGTGCCTGTAATTAGACGTTTTTAGATTAGAAGATAGTAAGGAAATTACTGTACTTTCTGCTTGATTCTCGTGTTAGATCAAAAGGAGCACAAGACACTCTTGATATCTGACCGAGCAAGACAACCTCTTCATCTGTTAACATCCATAGACATTCATTTGCAGGTGAGGTTAACTCTGACTGTCATTAATGATCAGTGGGGAAAAGTAACCAAGGTCATTTACTCAAGTGCTGTACTTAAGTATAATTCAGAGGTACTTGTACGTCACTACATTTCAGACAGAAACATTGTACTTTTTACTCTTTTTGCTATCACTTAAATATGATAAAGAAAGATTAAAGACTTAAAGATTTTTAAAAAGCAATAAT